CTATCAGTTTAATCAGGAGAGAGCTACCAATATAAACCTATATTGTTGGCTCAGAACTACCTCACAATAGGAAAATCACAATACGTAGCATTGAGACTATGACCAATACTGGATTATTTTCTCTCAAYTAGCCGCCAATATAAACCTGTGCTGATGGCTCAGAATCATAATAACTTACAATAGACCTATCCTGAATTCGCTTGACTGGTCACGAAACAATGGTTTCAAGTCGAGGTTGAACTTGATGAATAAAAGAATCAAGTTCAATCTCAACTTCAAACCTTTGTTTTGTGGTCAGTCAAACGAATTTGGGATAGGTCTATTGATTATTTATTTCATTTGACAATTTTCTTAATAATAGAATAACTACATTAGACACTTAACCCATATGCATAGTGAATCTATTACCTTAACAGCATGTCTGTGAGAGATTGGATTGATGAGAGGATCAAAGTAGAATGCAGGAAGATCAGGGTCCTCTGTCTTGATGTACACAACACTAACCCTATGATACCTGAAACAAAATACTTTTACTATAAACAATGCTAGAGTTTCAACACTTGTACACAACACTAACCCTATGGTACCTTAAACAAAATACTTTTACTATAAACAACACTAGAGTTTCAACACTTGTACACAACACTAACCCTATGATACCTGAAACAAAACCTTTTACTATAAACAACGCTAGAGTTTCAACCAGAAAGGCTATGGAATGTTGTGTATTACTTTAACTAAAGAAACAGCTTGCTGTCCTAAGCCAGCCTTACAACATAATTGTAAGGAGAGGTGAGCAGTCATTGATGACTCTACRTTCAATAACCTACGGCAGTGGTAACCTACTCCTTCTTGTACTCTAGCCACTATCCCAAGCCAACRCCCTTATTCTGAAGAACATTGGTTCCTTTCAGTGGCAAAAAAAATTCACAGCTTTCAGTTGATCTGAGAAAAATGTTAGTCAATCAGAATTGAGAAAAGTTGCTAAACTGAGATTTCACTTTTTCACAATTATTTTTCACAATTTCACAATTATGAATTTCCAGGCAACCAAATGAAAAAATAACATTGCGAATAATTACTTGATAACAATGATGCAACAAATAATGAGTTTTATATGGTTATGGTGGAAATTTTTTCATTTTTCGCTGGTCAATTTTTTCAGGCTTCATGATATCTCAATATTGCAGTAATGTCATTTCTATATCACTAGATTAGCTAGTCTATAAAATAAGTAGAGATTCAACATACCACGGCAACTGAACCTTGAATGGCAGGCTATTATACAGATAATCCTGTATTCTGTTCTGACAGGTTGTCGAATGATAATCTTGTTGATGTCATTAAATTCGTTCCAGTCTTCTTCATGGACGGTGAAATCTCTCACAAGAGGCTCAAACTTCGGACCACCAGGTATACAGACGTTCAAAGCTTTAGCTGTGAAGAAGGCTTTCAAATCAAACAGGTAGAAGTAGTTTTCATCAACTAGATCAGATAAGAGCTGGTTGCCAAGACGATAGAGTGTTGCCATGACAGGTAGTGTGAGATTCCACCGTCGGTATGATGTTCCATTTAAATACCTAAAGATAGAAACAAATAAAAGTATGTCTAGAATTTTTTGAATGTGGGGATAACCATAATGATATATTTTTGTTTCTTCCACATTTCAAGTACCAAGCTTTCCCACTAAAATAATCCAGTTGAACCAAATATTATGTGCACACAATTTGCTCTATTATTTTAAAATAAAATCATGTAAAAGGAACTTGACAGATTGCTTGTGGCAGCACATGGAATGATTAGTTTTTAAGTGTCCCTGTGGTTAAAGCAGCCAATAACCAAGGGCTATTGGCCTGATCTAAGACACATTGCAAGAAACAGCTTTCCTGTATACGAGACACAGCTACAAAAGACTTACTTTGTTTCTGCTAGTGGCTTGTGATCATAGAACCATTCACAGACAGCAGCATCTTCATCTGGATCAAGCTCTAGTTGTATAGGTTCCAGTGGTTCAACCTCAAGGATGTTGTCCGCATAGTCTAGAGGTGGTTCTTCATCATCAAAGGGAGGGAATCTCATTCTTTTGAAGTGACGACGATCTCTCTTTTCACGACGCATCATAATCCACATTGTTCTGTCAAACATTAATATTAGACATAAGAAACATGAGAATAAAATGAATCATATGTTCAGTCTATGATCTAAACTCACTGACAACTTGTATCTCTAATTATGAAACAAATAATGACATAATCAAGCCTTGTAGGGTCTTTGGTTAAGCATCTTTAAGAGTATATGAGGATCTAACCATTTCCAGATCTTTTACAACTCATGTCTCATGCTGAACCAAATAAGCCAACTAGCCAAATATTTCCATAATAAACTAAAACGTACCCCCACTGAGCCATGTAGATTGGTTCTACAACCCAAGGAATCTCATTTATAAAGGTGATGGCTCCAGTGATGTGGTATAGAACTTTGACATCACGAATCTGCTCCCACGGCATTGGCATGTTCTCCAGTAATTTCAGGACTGCATGAGGCATGTACTTCAGAGCTCTGCAACATTTAATAGGCATATTTTTAGTAAATGCATACATGGAATATATATATTCAATACTAAATTTAAAAATTTGCTAGTRAAATGGGATGACATGAAAAAAATCTGGTAAAAATATCAATGGCCAGGGTAAAATATGTTTGCCTGTTGTTAATCTTCTAAGATGGAAGTACTCTGTGCCGTTGATTAAAAGCAAAGCCTCACACCTCTCAATAGCTTACAAAAACAAGACAAATTAGCTAATCATGAGACATATTGATTCTCCTGTCATGAAAGTGTCAGAGGAAAAATCCATATCTTCCATAGTCCTTCTCTCAAATTTTATCCCATGAAGTCCAAGTGTACACAGTCATGCAACTACTATTCCTTTAAGAAACTATATAGTTCACTTACAAAAATGAGTTAAATATACCCCTTGCATGTGATGTCAAAGAAGCTCAATTTAGAGGACAAAACTAAAAAAAATTCAATTTCCAGGAACTGGAAACCTGTCGTTTTCCCCTCCAAATTGCGCTGCATTCAGACGCGCTGCAAGGGGTCTATTACTTATTGCTAATTATTTGAGGTTCAAAAACAACAACCATTGATGGATGCTGCATCAGATTTTGAAAGGAACAATATTCACAATACATACCCCAAGTAGACTCTCTTATCATGCCGATATTTCCTACTGGACATATCTYCATGGTCACGGATAATCTTTCTGACATGTTCTGGAGGCATGTCTTCTTTTTGTGCCTCCACGAAGCCAAACTTGCGCTTCTCGCTGTATCTCTTGGACTGAAGCTGCTGCCATTTGCGAGCTGTTAAACGAAAATTTTAAAATTCAATACAGTTTGAAACTTTTCTAAGTTTTCAAAGTTTAAAGAAATTAATTGAAAAATAACGAGTCGTACAGCCTAGGAAACACCTACATTACAAGATAAATCGTCATAGATGAGGTTTCAAAAGAAATAAAATAAAATTCTACTGAGTTTAATACTGGAACATGCATAAAGATTAAACGATCAAGCAGATCTGAATACAACAGAATATATTATTTCAGTGTTCAATACAGCTCATGTCATTTTCCTAATTGCATCATACCATTAATTTAACAGCTATTTCGTGCCATATAATAAAATGAGGCAGTTCAAAGCAAAATAGTAGGGTTAAGAAAAGAATATAGGAAGCTTTGACAAGACACACGTGCTTACTAAATAATTTGAGCGTCACCCAACACTATTATACACATTGACTTCATTTAACATAATTTTTACACCAAATCTGTACGTAAAGGCTTATCTTATTACCATTACAAGCAAAGCAAT